TTTGGCAGACCCGTAGGGCCGGTACTTACCTGTGGCCGTGACATTGAGGGTTGCAGCAGGGGAGAACACTCAAAGTGGTGGTGAGCTATGGCGTAGGCGCCGAAACTGCCCACTACGACATAGTCGGACTAGAGAGCATGGCGGTAACGTCTCCCACGCCTGTTAACATCCTCTCGTTTACATTTAGCAATAGCATATCGGAAGGTACCAACAGAGACTTCCGCAAAGACACGAAACACACGCAAAGCAAAAATGAGGAGGTCTAATCCCCATAAAAACAATTCAAGCCACGTCATTGCACAGGCACAGGACTACTGACACCACAAATGAAATCGTTACGTACAAGTGAGATACACACACATATACAAGCATAAGGGGAGATAAGGACAGAGAGGGAAAGGGGAGGGGGAGAGGAAAGAAGGGAAAGAACAGAAGGAAAGGGAGAAGGGAGGGGATACCAGAAAACGGGAGGGAGAAATGAATGGGATACCAGGAGACGGGAGGCGACAAGAGAGTATCACGCGAGCAAAGGGAAGGAAAGGAGACCCATGGAACAATACGATGGCGCAAGGTAAGAGATAGGGAATCAAAGACCCAGAGCGCAATGATCTTCTTGAAGCCCAAGCGATTGAGTAAAAATTTACATGAAGCGCACAAGTGCTACCATCCTCCCGGTGCAGGATCCGTTAGGTGCGGATGCACCAACATTATCCAACACAAGCGAGGAGAAGCAAATATCGGTTACGCCCGAAATGTTTCGACTGGTGCCGAATGCCAGTCATCACCAGGGGCAGTCGCATGGCATCAAGATGAAGATCACCGTGGCTCCAGTCCTTTAAATAGTTGAAATTCGTCCATTTCAGCAGAGGCCTACATTCCAGAACAGAAAGCCTAATTTCGGAGGACATCCTCAATCCTCCTGAAGCCATCGGGTGACGAGAAGAGAGGATGAGAGAGAGAGAGAGAGAGAGAGAGAGAGAGAGAGAGAGAGAGAGAGAGAGAGAGAGAGAGAGAGAGAGAGAGAGAGAGAGAGAGACGAAACACATATAAGCCGGTAGTTAGGTGAAGGTAAAGATAGACCCACAGGAGAGGAACTCGTTGCGGCGAGGTAGGGGTAAAGGATTCAATGATGGAGGGAAGAGGAAAGGAAGAGAGTAAGAGAGAGAGAGAGAGAGAGAGAGAGAGAGAGAGAGAGAGAGAGAGAGAGAGAGAGAGAGAGAGGCTGGGAACAGGGAGCCAAATAGGTTGTAGAAGTGTCGGAAAGATGATGTATCTGGCATTGTAAGATCGCTCCAGAAATCCAGTACCACAGCGCCCGCTTGCAGTCGGTGAGTCGCATCAGTAGAAGACGAAAAGACAAAG